GAGTAGCTGGGACTACAGGCACCCACCACAACGCCGGGCTATTTTTTGTTGCAGTTTGGCCAGGGGCAGGTTTAAACCCACGATCCTCGGTATATGGGGCCAGTGCTCTACTCACTGAGCCACAGGCACCTCGCTGGACCTAACTTTCCAATTAAATGAAATATATACACTGAACTGACTGTTACACACTCACTAGTTTTGTCACCTTTCCCTAGCTCTCTTTTGATAGCCTAAATATCAAATAAAGATGAAATGGCTCAGCGCCTGTGGCTCAAGTGGCTAAGGCGCCAGCCACATACACCTAAAGTGGCGGGTTCAAATTCAGCCTAGGCCCGCCAAACAACAATGATGGCTGCAACCAAAAAATAGCCAGGCGTTGTGGCAGGTGCCTATGGGGCACCTCAGCTACTTGGGAGGCAGAGGCAGGAGACTCGCTTGAGCCCAGGAGTTGGAGGTTGCTGTGAGCTGTGATGTCACAGCACTCTTCCCAGGGGGACAGCTTGAGGCTCTGTCTCAAAAAATAAATAAATAAATAAATAAATAAGATGAAACAAAAACATACTACCTATATTGTGTGACAAGCAAGAGTTAGCACCTCCCTTAACTAGGATAGAAGAAGCTCTATGACCTATAAAACATACATATAAGTGAAGGAATTGCCCCCTACCTTATGTTATCTATCCATCATTTTTATCCATAAAATAGAAGAGAATAATATATAATGGCTACCTAGGATTTAGCCTAGAAATGCAAGATTAGTTTAGCATTCATATATAAAACACAATACCATTCACAGTATCAGCAGCCTAAGGAAGAAACTCTGTATGATTATTTCTATAGATGCAGAAAAAGTGTGACATTCACTCAGCAGCAATTCATGATTTAAAAAGAAAAAGACTCAGTGATCTAGAAATAGAAGGAAACTTCCTTAGCCTGATAAGGGCATCTATGAAAAACCTACAGTTAACTCATACTTAACAGTAAAAGACTAAATGATTTCCCCCTAAGAGCAGGAACAAAGCAAGGAATCCACTCTTCCCACTCCTATACAACATCATCATAATGGATAGAAGTCCAAACTAATATTAATACAATAAGGTACAGAAAAGAAATGAAGATACAAACAGATTAGAGAGGAGAAATAAACTGTCTTTATAAAATAATTATCTAAAGAGAGAATCCAAAAGAATCTACAAAACTACTAATTTATTGCCTTTAGCAAAGCTGGAAAAAACAAGATCAATACACAAAAATGAATTGTATTTTTATATATAGCAGTGAACAACTGGGGAATAAAATTTTTAAAAGCACCATCTGCAATAGCACCAAGAAACACAATACTCAAGCATCAAGGATCAATCTAACAAAGCAATGTAAGATTTATATGTTGAAAAGTATGAAAAACACTGAGAGAGAAATCAAAGACTTAATTGTAGAGGTATACTGTGTTCATGGAACAGAAGAATGAGGATCATCAGTAGTGCAATTCTCTCTCAAATTCATCTATAGATTTTAATTCACCCCAAACAAAATCCCCAAAGATTTTCTTTTCCAGAAATTCATAAGGTGATTCTAAAATTATATGAAGAAACAAATAATCTAGGATAACAAAAATAATTTTGAAAAATAAAATTAAAGTTGAAATATTCACACTGATTTCAAGACTTACTAAAAGATATACTCAAGATAGCATGGTCTTGGCAAGGGATAACACATAGATCAATGGACAGAATAAACAGTCCATAAATTAAACTACACATACATGGTCAGTTAATCTTTTACAAAATGCCAAGTGAATCTAATAGACAAAGAATAATCTTTTAGTCTTTTCAACAAATGATGCTAAAATAATTAGACATATCTATATCCAAAAGAAATGAACCTCAACCCGTATCTTGCTCCACATACGAAAGTCAACTTGAAATGGATCATAGGGCTTGGAGCCTGTGGCTTAAGTGGCTAAGGCACCAGTCACATACACCTAAGCTGGCAGGTTCAAATCCAGCCCAGGTCCACCAAACAACAGTGACAGTTGCAACAACAACAAAAAAATAGCCGGGCGTTGTGGCGGGTGCCTGTAGTCCCAGCTACTGGGGAGGCAGAGGCAGGAGAATCACTTGAGCCCAGGAGTTGGAGGTTGCTGTGAGCTGTGATGCCACAGCACTCTACCCAGGGGAAAGCTTGAG